AAAAATTACACAAACAAAACTACTGAAAACTGTTCCAAAATAATTAATTATCTTCTTTTATTTTTTGTTTTGTTTGTTTAATTTCAAAATGTTCTTACGTTTTTCTTAATAATTAACATTTATAAATTAACAATTAACAACACTGGAAAAATATTTTTTTTCTCCTCATTGTTTTCATACATGTTAACATTATATTTGGTGCTCTAAATACGGAATTTTATATGCAAATGAATACAGCACATAGATTTTAAATATTATGTTCATTTAATAAAAAACGATAATATTAAATTAACAACAATTATAAAACAGTGAAAAAATACTATGGCTTAAGTTTTACATAAACTACACATAAAATTCTTAACAAAAATATATAGAATACTGCGAAAGCGCATATGTACTACCATAAAAATCACTTTCGGTACTTTCCTTCTTTTTTTTAAGACTCGCTTAAACCTATTTTGTATGTATGTAAAAAAACCTTAATTTATGATATTTTGAAAAAAATTCATATCACAAAATCTAGACGTGAAAGAAAAAATCGGCCAACGGGAACAAATTCAGAGCATTAAAATCTTCATATTTATAAAGATATGAAGATTTTAATGCTCTGAATTTGTTCCCGTTGGCCATATGATAAAAAAATTTTAAGAAGGATTTTGTTGCAGACCAGTGCAATTATTGTATTGACAAAATTTGGGAAGAAATAAAAACACTGAGTGTAATGAATATTTCGCGTATACGCGCGACTGATTTAAAAAATTCATAACTAGATCCAAGTTGTATAGTATATAATTATATACTATATTATATAATAAAATCTTTACAACTTGCTTGGATCCGCACGGGCTCGAAGTGTGAGTCGTGCTATATACAGTAAACGGTCTTGCAGTTTTCTGTGAATTTTTCACGAGGGTCAGGCTTTTTGAATTAAGCACGTATGTTGCAATTCATTTAATAAAAAAGCTGAACAAATTTGTCGCGTTTTGTGTGCTCAATTTAGTGCCTATAGTAATAGATATTTTTGGAGAAAAAAATTGCGTGGTAATATGTATTAGGGTGTTTCAAAAAAAATTAAAATATTTTTTTTTCTAATGGTGTTAAAAAATTAATAGTACATTAAAAATCAAAAATTTTGGGGCATATTTGAGCCCTTAATATTAATATTAAGGTTTGCCTCAATTCATTTGTTGTTTTTCCATTTCAATACAATTTCTCAACACCATTAGAAAAAAAATAATTTAAGTTTTTTTTTAAACACCCTAATATGCATATATAAGTTTCTGGGGAACGAAAAAATATATGGATTTAAAATTTTAAAAGCGTTTATAATCCATTTAAGTCTATTTTTATAAAATATTTTAAACAAAATGCCACTTTCGGTTTAACACGAAGTGAGATCAAGTTTGTTATTTAAAAAAAAACAGACTACCTGTTTTTAAATTTTTAAATTTGACATCAAAATCATCAAAATTACTATACCATGTCCTATACCTAAAGCGAAAATATTTCCACTTAGTAATTTTTTTCGTTAAAATTTAAAAAATGCGCGTCATTCAAAAATAACTTTTTTGTTATTAGGTTTGCAAATATAGTTTTGGAATTTTTGCAAACTTAAAACATTGTTTAAAAGATTCCATGTCAATTCTTTAACATTTTTTAACAAATTACCTGAAAAAAAAACAGGGCAAATTAGGCGAACTTGAAAGGTTGATACATTTTTTATTTTAAATTTATACCTCGATTTTTTTATATGTTTTTCGTATTCAAGGATAATTGAGACTTATTTAAAAAATGAATTTTTAAAATTTTGAAATCGAAAAAGTTATTTTATTTTAATAGTTTTCTGTAAAAAAAATTTTGTTTATATAATTGTTGCAACAATTATAAAAACAATACCAGTAAAAATCTTGTTAAAAAATTGTTCATTTTTTTAATAACAAAATAAATAATTACTTATATTCTTTTATTTTTTTGTTTTGTTTGTTTAATTTCAAAATGTTCTTACGAGGTTCTTAATAATTAACATATATGAATTATTAATAATTATCAAGAATTAACAATTATTATACTGTCAAAATTTGGGGATGAAGAAATAAAAACACTGAGTGTAATGAATTTTGAACTAAGATTACAGATACACTTATATTTTACTGAAATATCTGTAATGTCTACGAAATTAATCTAATTTCTTTTAATGTTGTGTGCAAGACCAATCCAATTTTATGTAATAACTTATAAAAAAAATAAGCGACTTTTATTTCTTTGCAAAACAATGGCCGTACAAGAACCCTATTATGATTTTTATAAGTCACTGAAGTCGTCTAAACCAAAACAAAAAGTTCATACCGCAGTCTTAAGAAGTTTTCTCAGTTTATTTAGTTCTTAATTTAATTAATATATTATTAGTTTTTTGTTTCATTAAAATAAATTATATGAACAAAAATCTGTTTTTTTTCAAGCTTTTTCTTATAATGGGTTTAACTCATTGCCATTTATTTATAAATCTGGAGTCCCGCAAAGCTCAAATTTAGGCCCTCTGCTTTTTCTCATTTCTATAAATGATATTGTTCGCAACCTTGACTTATGTTCGCAGATGACTTAAAATATTGCTTAGAGTAGGGCTGAGAGCTGTAGCATTATTCAAAATAATCTAAACAAAATTAACCAATGGTGTCATGCCAATAAATTGTGTATGAATGCCTCTAAGTGTAAAGTTATGTCATATTACAAAGGCCATAATCCGTTAACATTTAATTATATATTTAATAACTCTTTTCTAGAACGTTCTGAACATTTATTAATATAAACACATTAAAAAAATTGTATTATTCGTTTGTACGTTCAAGGCTCGAATATTGCAGCTTGATTTGGTACCCAATTTACAGAGCCTACAAAGTTACATTGGAAAATATTCAAAGACGATTCCTGAAATTTTTAAACTTTAGAATTAATGATTTTTATCCTATCAGAGGTCATCCTCAGGCTGAATTACTTCGGGCCTTTTCAATGGATTGACTTGAATTGCGTAGAGTTAAGTTTAGCATAAAATTTGTGTATGACTTGTTTCGTAATAATATCTACTTTATGTTGTTATAATCTATGTTTAATCTGTATATTTCCCGTTTAAACTCTAGGACTAAATTAACGTTTAGGGCAGATAATACAGGTACTAATGTTTTGTTAAAATCTCCAGTCCAAGTCAAGATGAAAAATGTTAATGAAATATCTTAAAAAATTGACATTAATAGTTCTTCGCTAACTTTATTATTAAAAGAAGCTGATTACTTTTACAAAAGTATCATTAATGTGTAAATGGTGTAAATTTTATGTTCAGTGTACATATGAACTTATTGTATATTGTATAACTTTGTCCTTTAATTTGATGTAAATCTGTTGGGCAATAAAGTATTATTATTATTATAATAATTATAATAAGATCGACAATATTTTTTAAATTATTTTGCATCAATTATTGATGCAAAATAATTTAAAAAATATTGTCGATCTTACTTTCTTCAAAAAATTCCTTTAACCTTTGGGCCATTCCACGCTTAACGGATAGGACAGTTGCCGTGTTTTTATTTACAAAATAATATTGTTCTATTATATTACCAATGTCAAATTTTTATAAATAGTTCTAAACTAAAGCTGTTTAACAAGGTTTTTATTTGGCAAAATTAGGTATCGTGATTGACTGTTTAATTCCTTAAAAATTAATAATTTAAAGCGTAACGGACGGGACTATTACAAAGTCCCGTCCGTTACGCTTTAAATTATTAGTTTTTAAGGAATTAAACAGTCAACCACGATACCTAATTTTTCCAAATAAAAACCTTGTTAAAGAGCTTTAGTTTAGAACTATTTATAAAAATTTGACATTGGTAATGTAATAGAACAATATTATTTTGTAAATAAAAACACGGCAACCGTCCTATCCGTTACGCGTGGAATGGCTCCTTTGCAAAACTTCAAACTTCATTATCTCATTTCAATGTTTTTTAGGTTGAACTGGGCGATATATAAATAACAAATTAATACGTAAAAGTAAAAAAAAAACACAATAAAAAATTAACAATTATTTTTAATAAAATAAATAAATAATATAAATAAAATAAATAAAACATCTTAGCATTAACATACGATAAGACCTGTAAAATGCAAGGTCACATTTGCCATTTTTTGGTTTAAAATAATTGCTTTGTTAAGCTACTAGAGGCCTTTAAAGTATTTATTTACACAAAGTTAATTGTCTTATTTGATATATGATAACATTTGTTGCATTAGTAGAAAAAAAGCAACTTGATAATGATTTAAAAATATTTGTCAATATTTTGTTAAGAATGTGTAGGTATTCCAATTTATACATGTATATATGAGGAGGTCCATTCCAAAACTCGGCTTATCTACTTTTTAATAAAGATAAGTTAGTGGTGTCTGTACATGTAGCATGTACCCCCTATACCCTGAAAAGTTCATAATATTCTAAAACTCAACTTATTCCATTTAAAATTCATTTACAAATTGACTATCGTTCCAAAACTTGCCTTATCTATTGGTTATATCATGCAGAACTCGGCATATACGTATGTAATTTTAAATTATTTTAAATTGGAGCTATACCGTTTAATCAGGGTATATAAATGTTTTACTTATGCCTATATATTTCGTTTAAAGTATTGTGTTGTCCTGATATGCGTTTTGGAATGCACCTCCACATGTATACACATGAATGTGGCACAAATGTATATTTTTCCATTCCCACGCCTTGTGTATGTTATAGACAAATAGGGGTGGAAGGAAGTAAATTAATAGTAAATATTTTCAAAGCTTATTAAACTTTATTTAAATTCCCTGAATTAAAAGCGTCACATGACTTAAATCAAATCCCCCCTTTTTTCAAAAAAATTCGTCTGCGGCGCCCTATCTTTGGGCTCCGCCCCCGGACCCCCTACCCTACAATACAGTCCGTTATTGCTTTTCTTTAAATATGGCAACTTGACACAGATCTTGTTTATTTTTAACTCGACCAGCATCGACAATGGGCGATAAAGTTGATAAAGCTAATTTAAAAAGTCGTTTAACGGCTATACAATACCAAGTTACTCAGGAAAAAGCCACGGAAGAACGTTTTTCTGGTAATATATTCCACAAACATATAATTAAGTATATTAACCTAGCAGTGATAATTTTTAGGATGTTATGATAAAACATATGAGCCAGGCACTTACGTCTGTATAGTTTGTGAGCTGCCGTTGTTCAGTTCAGACACAAAATACGATAGTTCTTGTGGATGGCCAGCGTTTAATGATGTTTTAGATGCAGGAAAAGTAAAACTGTTACCTGATACAACCGACGGTATAAATTATTTTACTATTATTTATTTATATTTTAGATTAGGCCTTGGTAAATTAAGTCAAATCAAGCGACATGCTTGCATGTGATTACCTAAACATAAATTATGATAAAATCAGAATTTAGATTATATCGAAAAAGTTTAAATCACTTCATACCTATGTTTATTATTAATTGATTGAGCTTTACCTATGAAACATTACATTCTATGGAAACTATACTTAAACATTTGATTTTATAAAGCAAATAAAAGAATATTGATATTTATTCAAGAAGACATTTTTAAAATAAATTTCTATTTTTTTTTATATTTTGAATGAAAACCAAATTTACAGAGTATTCCAAAAATATCATACACATGGTATTATGTAGGAGAGTTATTTTAAGATTTCAAAAATACAAAAAAATTCTATTAGTAGTTTTTCGGTTACTAGGGATTTTGTTTTCTTAATATTTATTTATATTTAGTTTACTAAAATAAAGTATTCATGGTAATTTGGCATTTTTTAAATAAATTTCTAATTTTTTTATATTTTGAATGAAAACCAAATTTACAGAGTATTTCAAAAATATCATACACATGGTATTATGTAGGAGAGTTATTTTAAGATTTCAAAAATACAAAAAAATCTTATTAGTAGTTTTTCGGTTACTAGGGATTTTGTTTTCTTAATATTTATTTATATTTAGTTAACTAAAATAAAGTATCCATGGTAATTCGGCAGTAGTACAGTAACTCTGTGGGTAAAAGGCATAAGGGGATAATTCAAAAAAAGCAATTTTTCAGTAGAGCCTTAAACGTATTCGCATTAATTCAGGAAACATATTTATGGTTAGCGGGTATACCCTTTTGTTACCAAATGTCATATGCTAACAAAAGCGTATACCCGCTAAACATAAATATATTTCCTGAATTAATGCGATCACGTTAAAGGCTCTATTGAAAATTTCTTTTTTTGACTTATCCCCTTATGCCTTTTACCCACAGAACTGTAGTATAGGTATTTATTTTACCAATTCCCTAGATAAACATTAGCGTGTGATATATCCCGTGATATGCCCGTCTGCGCACAAATCTTAAGTAGTTTGTCTTAGTCTAATAAAAAATTATCTATAAATATATATAAATATTTCGACTTCCAGTACCAAAAAGCTTGACCATAAAATATAAACTGATTCAAGAAAATACCGCGAAGAGCTTCTATATTAAAAATTAACTTATGTTATGAAAAAAAAACAACAAAATATTAAGTCGAAATTAGAAAGGATTGGTCTTGGGAGCTCCATCAGAAATTAGAAAAAAGGTTATCATTTCATTAAACAATTGTTATATTTGGACTGCCATGAGTGGGCACCTTGATTTGTAAAATTAAATTACAAACAAAAATTTTATTCACGCTTCCGAAAGGTAACATAATTTTTTTCCAATTTTGGTTTTGTTATATAAAAAACTAAATAAACTATTTCACACATATTTAAGAAAACATTTGGTTCGAGCACCAAAAGGAAAAAACCGAACAAAAATTAATTTTATGTCAGGTGGTTAATGTTAAGTTGTTATGGAGTTTTTAACAAATATACTAAATTTTCAAACTATTGCATTAGATAATAGGTAAATGAGTAAATAAATACAAGACAGTGAACAATGTGAAGACAATGTAAAGATATTGTGGGCGAAATCCTTTAGTGTATTTTGCGAGTAAGTCAACATTCGTTTGAATAAGGGATTCCTGAAGGGTATTAGAGCTTTAAGGACATACAACTTTTGCAATTTTTGAGTTTTTGTTTATTTTTCACAAGTACAATTTTTAGTAAACATTTTTTAAAACTGGCAACGCGCAGCTACTTTGTTGTTTTCTATGTACTATGCTCCACACAGTGCACAGTCCTCTCCCGTGACTGGTAGAAATAATTAATAATAATAATAATAATAATAAACGACTTTATTTAATATAAACATCCACTAACATCAAAAAGGCGAAGTTCAATCAAAGATTAAGGTTAATTTTCTGTCAGTGTCAAGCTAATTTCGTTCTATTATAAATAGCTATATTGTATTATTTACAAAATAAGACGAAATTAGCTTCGAAACTGTGGACAACACGTCCACGTGCTCTTTGCGTGCTTTTATAAAATAATAAATATTAAACAATATTAATAGGAAATTCTTATAGTGTTATATTTATTAGGGGGCTGTTATTTTTAGTTAATTATTTATTACTGCCCAGTATTTCCTTTCATAAAAAATAACAGCCCTTTAAGTACTTAACGATTAATATTAATTGTATCCTAAATATTCTTACAAAAATCCTAGTTGTCTACAGCTACATTTCATGCAAATAATCATATCAAAAGCTTTACTTTTCGTTTTGTGGTGTGTTTAAAATTAATTTCCGGGAAGCTTATCTGACTACTTTGTTTCAATTCTTACCTTTCTCCAACCCCCAACACTTTACACTTATTTTTTATTTATTTTTTTGTTTCCTCATGTTCACGTTTTCATTTTTTCATTGCTTTCCCATTTGGTTACCTACTTTGTTTTAACTTTTATTCTATACTTTATAACCTCCAAATCCTCTCCCTATTACCCCATTAGTCAGATCAAACCTACTACTCGTTATTACCCAACCAGGAAAGAACTGGACCGAAGTGACCTGCTCGCAATGTGGGTCCCACTTGGGACACGTTTTTGGAGACGGGCCTCCACCAACCTTGAAAAGATTCTGCATCAACTCTGCTTCCCTCAATTTTTTACCAAAAGCCGAAGATTAATCATCAATAATTAACGAGCAAAGGTATTGCATATTTTTACTACAATATGCTTAAAAAACTCCAACCTGTTTATAAAATTATGAATATGAATATTAGGGTGAAATTTTTACATAAAAAAGCGATATCGCTTTTTTAAAACACCCTAAATAATACATATGCAATACTTTACTCAATTTAATTAGATTAGAAGAATTAAAGCCAAATTTTTATTATATCCAATATAAATTTATCCTTAGTTGTCTATAAATTAACAATTAACATTTTTGTATTTATTGTATTCTTTTTTAAGTCATTCTTGAATTCTTAACAATTTTATTTCAATTTTATAGAGTTATTGCTTAATGTTTTTAGTTTTCTTACCAAGATTAATTTTTGACTACTAATTGTTTGTTTTATTTTAAGGGGTTAACTAAAAGGTAAATAAAATTACAATGCTATAAAATGATTTATTATTTTTATGACACTCTCTCTCATTGGCAACAATATCTCTACGCAATTACTACTTTGTTGTTTTCTATGTACTATGCTCCACACAGTGCACAGTCCTTTCCCTTGACTGGAAGAAATAATTAATAATAATAATAATAATAATATTAATAATAATAATAATAATAATAATAATAATAATAATAATAATAAATGACTTTATTTAATATAAGCATCCACTAACATCAAAAAGGCGAAGTTCAATCAAAGATTAAGGTTAATTTTCTGTCAGTGTCAAGCTAATTTCGTTCTATTATAAATAGCTATATTGTATTATTTTTTAGAAATAAGACGAAACTAGCTTCGAAACTGTGAACAACACGTCCACGTGCTCTTTGCGTGCTTTTATAAAATAATAAATATTAAACAATATTTATAGGAAATTCTTATAGTGTTATATTTATTAGGGGGCTATTATTTTTAGTTAATTATTTATTACTGCCTAGTATTTCCTTTCATAAAAAATAACAGCCCTTTAAGTACTTAACAATTAATATTAACTGTATCCTAAATATTCTTACAAAAATCCTAGTTGTCTTCAGCTACATTTCATGCAAATAATCATATCAAAAGCTTTACTTTTCGTTTTGTGGTGTGTTTAAAATTAATTTTCGGGAAGCTAATCTGACTACTTTGTTTCAATTCTTACCTTTCTCCAACCCCCAACATTTTACACTTATTTTTTTGTTTCCTCATGTTCACGTTTTTATTTTTTCATTGCTTTCCCATTTGGTTACCTACTTTGTTTTAACTTTTATTCTATACTTTATAACCCCCATTCCCCCATTAGTCAGATCAAACCTACTACTTGTTATTACCCAACCAGGCAAGATCAGGACCGAAGTGACCTGCTCGCAATGTGGGTCCCACTTGGGACACGTTTTTGGAGACGGGCCCCCACCAACCATGAAAAGATTCTGCATCAACTCTGCTTCCCTCAATTTTTTACCAAAAACCGAAGATTAATCATCAATAATTAACGAGCAAAGGTATTGCATATTTTTACTACAGTATGCTTAAAAAAATCCAACCTGTTTATAAAATTATGAATATGAATATTAGGGTGATATTTTTACATAAAAAAGCGATATCGCTTTTTTAAACACCCTAAATATTACTTATGCAATACTTTACTCTATTTAATTAGATTAGAAGATTTAAAGCCAAATTTTTATTATATCCAATATAAATTTAGCCTTAGTTGTCTATAATTTAACAATTAACATTTTTGAATTATTGTATTCTTTTTCAAGTCATTGTTGAATTCTTAACAATTTTATTTAAATTTTATTACTTATTGCTTAATGTTTTTAGTTTTCTTACCAAGATTAATTTTTGACTACTAATTGTTTGTTTTATTTTAAGGGGTTAACTAAAAGGTGAATAAAATTACAATGCTATAAAATGATTTATTATTTTTATGACACTCTCATTGGCAACGATATGTCTACACAATTAATTGTTTACACTAGTGCAAAAATGTCATAATAGTGGATGTAATAGTTATACTGTGTGACAAAGAAAGGTAAACACCCAGTATTTATTATTTTATTTTAGTAATTTGGTGCATGTAGATACATCATATCGTAAATAAAAATTGATTAAATTTTCAGTGTGCAAATGTTTATTTTAATTTTTTGCTCTTATTTGCGGTTTATTGCTGAATAGTTTATTGTAAAGTGTTGTTCTGTAAGCAGTTATCATGCCTAGAGTACGTAGACTTGGTCATATTCTCCAACTTAGGGAGTTTGAGAGAGGGCGGATTGTTGGGTTACGGGAGGCAGGTTTATCAATACGAGAAATTTCTAGAAGGACTAACAGATCCTTACGTACCATAATAAGGTGTTATCAGGCCTGGACCCAGGAAGGCCGTGAATGCAGAACTAGAGACACTGGACGTCACAGAGCAACAACAGAGCGTCAAGATCGCCGCCTAAGAATTTTGGCCCTCAGGGACAGATTCAGCAGTACTCGTAATATTGCGAATCAGTGGTTTGAAGAGCACGGAAGAGTCATTGGGATGCGTACTGTTGTATCGCCGAATAAGAAGTTTTGGACTTTTCTTATCGTCCCCATTGGGTGTTGCCTCTTACTCCTGAACATCGGCGCAACCGTCTACAATGGTGTAAGGAGAGAGTTCAGTGGAATCAGGAATGGAATCATGTCATCTTTAGTGACGAATCCCGCTTTTGTTTAGGTATGCATGATGGTCGGGCGAGGGTAAGAAGGCGACGTGGAGAAAGGCGCGATCCACAGTTTGATATGGAAAGGCATGTGCATCAAACAGTAGGTGTTATGGTATGGGGTGCCATTGCATATGGAAGCAGGTCACCTCTAGTTTTCATTAGAGGTAACATGACAGCACAACGCTACATTCAGGAAGTTGTGGAACCTTACGTGCTTCCATATCTAGAGACCATAGAAAACCCTTTATTCCAACAAGACAATGCCCGACCTCATGTTGCTAGAGAAGCACTGGCCTTTATGGATCAACAGGGGATTAACCGTTTGCCATGGCCACCAAGATCACCTGATCTTTCACCTATTGAACATGTCTGGGACATGATGGGTCGAAGGCTGTTAAATTTACAGCACCCACCCCGGACTCTGGCAGCACTTAGACATGAGGTAGAGGTAGCCTGGAATGAGATATCCCAGGAGGATTTAGACAGCCTTATTAGAACAATGCCCAGGCGTGTCACTGAGTGCATATAAAATCGAGGATCAATAACACATTACTAAACTTGTTTGCTTTTCTACCCTTTTCTGTTTGTTTGATTTGACTGAAAATCTAATACATTTTTATTTATAGTCAACTAAACTTGTATGCCAAAAATTAATAAAATATTACGAATACAAATGGGTGTTTACCTTTCTATATCACTTAGTATATTTACGATATAAGTGGGATAAGAGCATTATTAACGTACGCATGCCAAATTTGCCCAACGAGTGCGTAGCACTAGTTGGGCAATCGCAGAAGTACGTTAATAAAGCGTTATCATACGTATATTGTACAAATTTTTATCTACGCCTCTAAATGAAAAAATAAACGGTAATTATTTTTGTCTAAGACTTAATTTAGGGTTATTTTGACATTTTGACATTTTGACTTTTTTATTTGATTGGTTAAAAGCAGAGAAAAACGCGTGCGTTAATGAACTTCTTATCTCGCTCAAAATGAGTGGGATAAGTTCTTATCTCACTGGCGTAGATAAATTATTTTACAAAATGTAATAATTATATTACATTGCTGTATTTTTAGACCTTGCAAAGGCATTTGATACGGTAGATTTCTCTCTTTTGCTGGAATCATTGAAACAAAATAGTGTAAGAGGAGGGGCACTCCAACTATTTCAAAATTATTTAAACGGGAGACAACAGTGCGTTGAAGTAAACGGCGCGGCGTGAGAAGTAATATTTTAAGCTTTATATATGAAGTTCCCCAAGGAACCATACTTGGCCCACTGTTGTTTATAATTTACATAAATGATCTATTTCTACAAAAAACCAATGGTGACATTATTACTTTCGCGGATGATACCGTTATTTTTATGAGGGTAATGATTGGAGTTGAATTAATATAATAAACCAATGTTATAAACCTTATAACACCTTCTATTACTTCTATTAAGAATGAAATATAAAATATGTTAGAATGTGTTTTCAATGTCAATGTTATCAATGTTATTATAAACATGTTTATAAACCTTATGACATATATCTTTATAAAAACAAGTCATAAACTATAATAGAAGTTTTGTAAGACATAAAATAATATTAGCATTTTAAATTATAGTTACTATGTAGAAATACGAGGGTGGTTCAAATATAAACCGGAATTTTTTAATAAACGCGCTAAAAATTTAGTATCGTAAAAGTGGCTGCACTGGATGTTAGACTGGTCTGTTACGAAGCGTAGAGAACAGCCGGGACTGCGTAACCTCGCTTTTCAGTGTAGTTATAGCCATGAGCGAGAAGGATGTACCAGTGTATGTTGCGCAACGCATCATTACTCGTATTTTGGTCAAAGATAATGTAAAATCCGCGGAAATTTATCAAAAATTACTCGAGCAGTTCGGGGATGAGTGCCTCTCCAAGACTCAAGTGTATGAATGGTGTTCCGCTTTGCGAAAAGGCCGAGAAGTGGTGGCAAACTTTCCATATGCCCCAATTGATAATATACAATGACAAATTGCAGATAAACGCAAACTTATTAATTTTTTGTTACATAGTGTAATTGGCTTCACCAGTATCCCAAAACAGTATCTAATAGTATTTAAAACATATTCTGGCAAAATATTACTCTAAATATTTTATTGTTTTAAATAACTTTAAATAATATGTGATTTAGACAGATTTAACGTTTCTAACATTTTAGGTATAAAATAAACTAGGACATACTTTTTCCAAGGCATATACATATGACTTAAATTTATTTTTCTTGTAATATTCACTTGTAATGTATTCATGTAACATTTTGTAAAACCCACCCTAAATAATAAATAAATAAAGTATTAAAATAAGGACATAAACAGACCCATATATAAACCCTAAAATCAGTAATGGCGTTAGTATTGTTCGTGTCATTTAGTCGTGTATTTGAAATAATGGCGTGTTAAATCCAGAAATTTGAAAGCCACACTCGTATATCAATCAGAATCTTTCATAAATTTAATAAAAGCATGAAAAGTACATTTCAAATTGTTCGTTTCAATTTGATTAAAATTTAAGTTTCCTTATTTATTTCAAAACATTAATATTGTAAAGTAAAAACCTACGACTTAAGTAAAATTATTATTTATTAAAAATTTTTTAGGTAATAAAACCATTTTTAAAAAAGTCTTAACTGTAACACGATGTTTTCTTTATTTGATTTTTCTTTATCTTATTATTTATAAATAAATAAAAGGCTTGTTATAAAGGTTTAAAGCAAAAAAGGTTTTAAACACATATATTTCTTTGTAGAAATAAAGCCGAGTAGGTCATAAATTAGCTTCCGAAAAGATGTGAAAAAGGCTTTTACTTTAAAGTCTTTAAATAAAAAAGGAGTAATGTTTTGCGAGAATAAAATTTTTCAAAGAAAATACAGTCTTGCCTTATTTAAAGTAGTTTCATAAATTACTCAGAAGGATGTCATTATACTTTTTTAACCTAAGTCCTATATTGGAATAAAACTATTATAAAATAATTATTGCCTACTGGATTTTAAGACACCAACACAATCTTTTGCGTTTCTTATAGCCGCCATATTGGAATTTCTCCAAACATAGTAGCAAATAAATTGGATGAAAATGTAGATAAATGTGTATGTTAACATGTAAAACTAACTTTGTTTTAAATTTTTTAGAAATAACAAAGTTTTTTTTGGTTTGAAAGGTTTTTCGTTTTTTTCAATTATTTAAAAAACCGTCTCTCCAATTTATAAATTTTTAGTTGGCTTGTAATTAAGCAAATTTTCGTTTATTTAGCCGACCTTGCAGATCTTCAAATAAAAAAAGTACATATGGGGCAAAACACCTCAAGTGTTCCCACCTAAAAATGATGTTTTCTCCGATTTTAACAAAACTTTGCCAAATCTTTGTCCTATTGGACTACCTTAATTTTCCAAATAGGGGGCAAAAAGGATTAGCGGGTTGCAGAGATACAGGGGCCTGAAATTTTTTTTTCTCGTGCGCTTAAAAGACGTCGAAATATTCATGTATATAATAATTTTGTTTTAAATTCATAATTAACATATCGTATAGCATTTTTTCCACGATTTACGATAAAAATTTAATTTAATTAATTATAGCATTGTTATTGACTATATCGGTTTTTTTCTGTGCAATCAGAAATAGAACAGTTACTTAAATCTATGGTATTTTCAAAGTAAAAATCATGTACATTTATATCACAGTTTTTAATATATACAGAACTAAACAGTCAGCAAAAAGATCTTCTATCTCCTAGAGATTTTCAGTCTC